CCTTTATATCGTTGTATCTACTTATTAACGAATTCACGAGATTAATGCATATATTTTTCTGCATTTTTAACACTCATTTTTCGCCCTTTTGGGTGATAAAACACAAAGACTGCCTCGAAACGTGTGGCGTACACGGCACTCATCTCGAAAAGGTCCGTATTTCTCAGTAACAAAAACGATACCCAGAGATTTAAAGCTAATGCGTAACAGAGGGAACTTCATATTTTTATGCTAACACAATCTCTCCCTCAATTGCCCTCAAGTTTCGAAAATATCGCGTCCACGCTTTTGTGGAACAGACTGTATCCAGTAACTGACGAATTCCGTGTCGGAAAACTTATGGCGGTTTTGAGTCGATAGAGTCGTCAAGGCTTTGTGAAAAAAGGCACCGAATTAATTTCCACGCCCAATAAAATGGAGTATGTATAATTTCGAACGTTCGTATCGCATAAATGGTTCAAATTGAAAATTCAGATCTTTTCTAACAGCGTGAAAAATGTTCTCTCTCTGGAGACACGTTGAAAATGTGAACGGCTGTTTACGGCGATGGAATTTTCGTGTCGCTTGTCCTAGCCTCGTCTTGTTTATCGAGTGGACCCATCAAATTTTCGACATCGTGCGGTGCAGGTGTCACAGAGGCGTTTGGATTATCTCGGAAAATCAAGATCATTAGTTGCTCTGTTCTCCTGTTTTCTCGTCGTTAAAAACTGTCTCAAGTGTTCTCTGGTCTCCTTTGTTTCGATCCTCTGCAGTGACATTCGATCGCGTTTCCGTCTTTTCCTCTCGCTAAGTGGATTTTCAGGCTTATTTCATCCTTCACGTTGGTGAACATTTTTTCTGTCTCGTTATAAGTATATACCTACTTCCCGTTGAAATTAGATCGACAGATAGAAAATGAAGTATCGCACAATTTTCAGTTTACAACGTTTCGTTTTACCGGAACTATGAAACATTAAACGCTACGGATGTTTGAAGAACCGAATCGTTTCATTTATCTCGAAATGTTGACCTTAAACATTTGTTCTCAAGTGAACCCGTTTACCTTGGTATCCCAATTGCTGTCAGACTGCAGACACTCGCTACAGGATACACCGAGAGGATCATGATGCTGTTGGTCTTGTAAAATCTGGTTTCCTTTTGGAAAAGAATATTGTGGCAGGCGTCTACAGCGAAGTATAGGGTCAGGGTTGAAAGAATGGCGCCCGAGCTCAACAATCCGATACCAAACGTGCCCAGACCTGAGAAAGAAAATTTCACGTGAGACGAATCATCGAGGACAGACAATTATCCTAAGGAAGAAACTGTAGAAGTGTTCGTAGAATTGTTTGTCTCGGCGCCTGCAAAAAGTCACGTTTTATCTAGAATGTTTATTTGGGTTATCGATTGGATTTTATCTGGGATCGTCGAAATATTGCTGTGTAAAGTTAATTGAAAATATACAGGAGTTACGTGAGAATCGTATCTGCGGAAGTAATGATAAATTTTGCTAATAATAGATGCACAGGCGTGAATGATTTTGTGAGAATGAAATAAGAATAAATAGGAAATATCAATCACGGTAGATCGTACTTTTATTGCAACGGAGGTCGCTATTAATCGATATGTCGTGCTCACGTACGGATGTATTGTTCGTTTACGTTTTTTCCTCGGACAAATTTCTTGCATCACGACGATTGAGAAACTGCCTGTCAGAGAAACGCTGTTTTTTTTTTTTTTTCTGAAACAGGAGACTTGGAATGTATAATTTTCTCTTCAAGATCTAAGGTAACTTCTAAACCACAAGAAGTAATTGAGGAAAAGTCGCGTCGGTGTTGATGGAATATTTACTTTGGGTAGAATTATGACAACCTCGTATTTGAAAATATTAGAATGGCGGTGATTATGAAACTTTAGATAAAAATAATGTATTTCATCAAAGTAATTTCCACACGATTTTATACACTTTCCCTAACGATTAATTAGCCTCGTTACTTGAAATTTAGAAAAATCATTAGTCTTTGAATTGCAAAATTCTTTGAACGATGCTTCATTTCGGAATCATTTATTTGTGTTTAACCGTATCGTTACTATTGCCGCCTGTAGGCGTTTTGAAATTTTTCTCCCACTATATCGTTGGAGGCTTTTGGTGCACTTCTATCTTAACTTTATCCTTTACACACTTCCACCTTAATTTAGTATATTGAATTTTAAAACGATACGGCCAAAATAACAAATTTTGCTGTCGTGCTTAAAAATTTACAGTCAGTCATCCACGTTACGCATTAAAATCTGCCGTAGCGAAAGGGTTAAAGAAATGGTAGTCCGTTGGAGGTAAGGTCGAGTGAATTAGGGGATGATGTGGTAAAATTTCGTATTCTTTACCTAGGATTGTTTTCAATAATTTTTCTTAATCATCGACTGCCCTATTTGGACTTTTTCTTGGCTCATTTCCAATTAAAAGTCTCCAATCCTGTATTTTTCACACTAACGTTCAACTGTCCTAACATTTACATAATCTTATTCAAACGCTAAATTTACAGTTTTTACCGCAGTTTTTCCAAGTTCGAACTTACATAAAACGATTACGCGAATATCCTGATTATTCATCATGTCGGACAATAGTATCCAAACCATTGTACAGTGGATTCCGGTTAATTGGGACACATTGGGACCGGACTAATTTGCCCCAATTAAGCGGCTGTCCCAAAAAAGCGAATTTCAACGGGCAAAATCTGAACAACGCAAAAAATGAAGCCAAAAACGATTTATTAAAAAACGTATGTAATATTCGGTCTTGAATACAAATGTGTGTTTATAAATAATATTAACAAGTAATGAAAAATAAGTAAATAAACACAAATATTATGTAATGTATTTATATTCCGTTCTTCAGTATCTGTCCCAAATAAACGGCGGTCCCGCTCAACAGGCGTCCCAATTAAGGGGGTATTCTATTCTAGACTTTTCAAAAAAATCGATTTTATTTTTTTACATTTTCTGAAGGTAGACATTTGCAGAAGTGTAACTGTCGGAAGAATCTTTCGAATTCGTAAAATTGACGAAGTTATAGATGGTTAAAGAAGACGACATGTAGTCCGGCGTCCCAATTAAGGGGGTATTCTATTCTAGACTTTTCAAAAAAATCGATTTTATTTTTTTACATTTTCTGAAAGTAGACATTTGCAGAAGTGTAACTGTCGAAAGAATCTTTCGAATTCGTAAAATTGACGAAGTTATAGATGGTTAAAGAAGACGACATGTAGTCCATAGCCGTAAGTATACCATTCTCGTGTAACTGGTATGAGAAACTTTAAACGCGTTTTTCTCGAAACCATGTTTTTCTAAATGGCTGACATGATATCTCAAGTTCCAGTTGTCCGATTGACTCGAAATTTTACATGCACCTTCGGTGGATGTGCCGTTATCGTCTGAACCATAATTATGCCAAAATATCTATTTTTCTGATTTTTAGAGCCTCTGAAAGACGAAAAAAAAATCGACAAAATCGATGCACAAAATTCAAAGTACCGCTATTTTGTAAATTTTCAATATTTTTTTTTTCATTCTGGTTCACACCATAATCATATTAGTACTACTCAAGAATCCTTTTGATTTTTTCATTTTGGATAAACAGAATGGGCGGAATCGTGTCAGCCAGTAGGACACTTTTTTTTTAAAGGGACCGCACTGAATGATATATAATTCAGACAGTTTTGTTTATTTTCACTTGAAAAAAATTGTGAACTTTCTTAAAACATGAATAAATATGTAT